CCCTCAGAGGCCGCCGCCGCCGCCGCGGGGCGCAGGTGGGTGCCCGAGGGCCCAGGCAGTGTGCTTGTGAGCGCCGCTCGCCCTTTCCTTCCTTCCCGTCCTCCCTCCCCGCGGTGCTCGCTCGGCCTGGCAGCTTCCCGAGCTCCGGAGCTGAGGCTGGTTGCATCAGCTGCGCTGCCGCCGGGGTTTGGAGGCGCTTAGCAAGGGCTGCGCCTCCGTGGCTGTGGTTAAAATCCCCCCGTGGCGCCGTGACTTGTGCTTTCGGTGCTCTTGCGGTAGGGGATGTACTGGATGTGCACACGGGGAGGCCTGCGGACACCACCAGACCCCGGGCTGGGGCTGGCAGTGTTTGGGGTTTCGTCCTTCTGTTGACATGCTGGCTCAGTCTCTTACCCTCCTTTTGCCGTGGAGGGATGCACCAGTTGTGCCAGGGAGCTTTCCTCCTTGTCTTTAGGAAAAAATAATGCATGCTGCTTTATTAGCAAACCATTCTGAGAATCTGCTGTTCCTGACATCAAAATTCTGGCTTTTGATTCTTATTTCTCTATTTGTTTTGTGCCATATATAAGGTTAAGTGTCTTTAGAGAGTGACACTTTAATTACAAAAACTCCCTTTTGCGTTCAAGACGGCAGTTGGGAAATACCCCTGTTTGTTTATTCAAATTGGTTTTGAGAAAGTCCCTTTGAACTGTTACCAAAAGTGAAAGTGTGTCATGAGCACTTGTGGTGCTGGCTGATGGAAATGGAAGTCTCTAATATTTTTGCTAAGGATTGTCTTGCAGTTTAGTGAAATTGGAATTCATGGGAAGTTTTTGTTGTATGTGAAATGGTAGCTTTTGTGTTTGTGACAGCAAAATTCTGTCTTATTTTTTAGACTAGAGAGTTGAAAAGAATAAGTTTAATTGGAGACTCCAGTGTTTTCTGGTTTAATAGCTTAGTTAGAAATCGCAAACTTATAGAACAGTATTTCTAAAAAGATGAATGAACAGTTTATAAATGCTACTCAGATCTAAGATTTGTTGCCATAAGCATAGGTTGCAATTTTAGACTTTATCTGGGTGCACCAAAGTCGTAGATACCTTTTATGTTTCTTAAGTTAACGTTGATTAGAATTGCAGCTATAAAATGACTCTCTGGCATAATCTAAAAGTGGGAGAATGACGGATGCAGGGTGTTCATGAGAATCGCCTAGCTTGTTTTGGGAAAGGGGTAAAGTTACACTAATAAATTCAATGTGGTCTTTTGAAAACTGAGCGTATTTGTTGCTTTCAGGTTTGTAAATACCATATTTTACCTTGGCCCTAAAATAATAACAACAGTGTTATCCCAGCAAGAAAAATAATGCATGGTTGTTGCCCTGTTTGAACAGACTCTGTGCAAATTACAGTAATCAAGCACGAAGGAGTGTCAAACCATCCACATGCTCAGTTAATCCTTCTGACTCCTCTTTAGAACATATTATTGTCTTTGCAACATTCAAAAATTCTTCATAGCTTGCTAAAGCTGGGGTCAAGGTGTAAGGTTAACCACTAAACTTGCCACCCGTTGGATGTTTGCCTATGGTTTTTTGCTGTCGGATAGTATTGGATTGGGTTTTTTCCAAGCAAGGAAAAAAAGACCCTGGAAAATGGATAGAAAAGTTTGCTGCTTCTTTGGTGTCCGCTTTTTTCCTGAGACTTACGAGCTAATAAACAAGAACGAGAAAAGGTAACCACTCTGAAAGAGAAACTGGTGAATCAAATTGCAATGCCAACCTTAGTGCATATATGCCAGCGCTTTAAATGTTTTTCTCTGTAAATTAAAGGTTGTCTTCCATAAGATTCCCAGTGACCAAGGCACACAATTCTCGCATGCTTTAACATGTACATAGATTGATTTGTTTGTTTGTTTTTCTTCTGTTGAGATCACTGCACCCACCTTTCCTTGCTGTCTGTGTGCCTTCCCTATTTCTTGGGGTTTTACTTCAGGGACATGCTTGTTCGCTCACAGAGGTTACTGCTTTCTTTGGGCTGCACTTGTGGTGATGAATTCAGCCTGAACTCTTACTGTGATCCGGGGAGTTTCTGTGTTCAGCTCACTGCCATCTTCTCCCCTTTAGTGGGTACTGGTGCAGATTTACAGCGGACTTCGTCTCTGATCTCAGCCTCTGTGCTTTATGTGGCTTGTGCCGTGCATGCCTGTTCTAGCTTTGCAACAGGAAGAGCGCCTCTTGGACTATGAAAAGTAGTACCCTGCTGTTCCATTTTTCTGAAACCAGAAGGTTACAGTATCATTTTATGATACTGTTTTTTGCTTGACAAATGGTTGAGATTGGGGAGGGGAGGCATAGATCATTGTCTACTATTAGCTCTTTGCGCTCCAGCTGATCTCACTTTGCTAGAGGGCTGGGACTTTTATGTTATGCTCTTGTCCTGGTGGAGCTTGTGGTTTTAAGATGTTCTCTCCTGACTTTCTCCCAAAGAGAGCAATAATTCATGGTCAGCTGTCCACTGCTGTAGAAAGGCTGTTGAAATAGGGAAGTGGGAGAAGCACGAAGACAGAGGTACAGCCTGGACACATTTTAGGGAGGAGTGGTGGGTGTGGATTGAGCACCCTATCCAGAGCAGGGCAGAAAAATTGAATTGTGGATTTTGATAAATCAGCACCTTCAGCAGTTCCAGCTCACGTGTGGGGTTAAGAGGCGTAATTCATCTTGAAATGACAGGAGGCTTCTGAATTATCCCTATTCTGGTACAAGTTTCATTCCCCCCCCTCCTTTTTTTGTTTTCCAATTTTTTTATACTAGTTTGTACTCAGGTTCCCCTCCACCAAAACACAGAGAATGCATTTTGTACTCAAGGGTGTTTTTGCAGAATTCCAAAATACCACTTAGACTTCTTGAAAAAGTACCATATCTTTGTACAGGAAAGCTATATTAAGAGATTATTTTTCTTTCTTTTCCAATTGTGCTTTTGTTTTAAAAGAATGGCACAGAAGAAGTATTTAGTAGCAAAACTGACAAGTTGCCTGAGAGAGGACAAAATTCAGCTATGGAAACCACCATATACAAGTGAAAACAAAGAAGCTGGTAGAGAGATGAAGGTAAATATTCTTTCTGAGTTGATGTCATACGTCTTAATGTCATACTGCTGGTGCATTTTCCCACTTCTTGCTGTTTTCTTAGGAGCTTGTACAAAAATATTCATCCAAGCTGAGTATCAATGAGAACGATACAGAGAATATGCTTGAAGAAATACGGTGTAAAGCAATTGAGCGTGGAACTGGAAATGAACATTTTAGGGTGACTGGAATTGCAAGACTTGATATCTACCTGCCTCGTAGAAAAGTAAGTGACATTGCAGAAAAGTAGCTTTACATTGGCCTTTTGAGATCTAGATATGTACCTGATGCAAATATTTTCACTTCAACTTTTTCAGGTATTTTTTTTATGAGGTATCTGTTGGGTCTGTAAAATATGGGAAGAGGGGGAATTATGTAGGTATGTTTCAGTTTCCCAGATATGTGGGAATTTTGTGGCAAAGGAATATAATACTAGGAAATTAATAATTCTTCCCTTGAGTATTTAATGAGAAATTATCTTTCAATTAAGAGAAGTAAATTAGATTAAGTGTCTCTCCAGTTTGATTCCTTCTGAGGTAACTGTTCATATTAGCAGTAAAGAGCTGATGTACTTTTTTTTTCTGTAGAATACCTGAAGTTGAATTAGCATATTAATATCACTGTATTACCACAGCTTTTATTTAAATGACAGCTTTAATTAAAAAAAAAAATCCCTTTAAGTGCAATAAGCAACTTGAACTTGGTGTCATCTTAGTGTATGGCTGATGCCACTGAAAAGAACTTCCTTCTTTTAGCCATGGCATGTGGCACTATTCTTACAGTGATAATGTTATAGTCATGTAACCATTCCAGCCCAGGCAGCTAACTAAACTTGCTTTAAAATAGGTACATCCAGAGTTTGAACTTGGAAATAAGAAGCAGGATTTGCTATTGTGATGGTACTCGTCTCTTCACTTTAAGTCAGGATCCTAAAAGCTTCACAAAGCTAGAACTGCCCTTTTAAAGCCAGGCTTCAACCTCTAGTTTCACTCATAAAATATGCCAGAGTAAAGATGTGAATCTGATTAAATCAGTGTCAGACTAGTCATCATATCAAATTCTGTGGCTTCGTCTACCCTAGTCAGCTAAACACAAGTGAGGACAGGCTGGTCGCTCTTTGATGGACATCTGTACTGTCAAGCTGTTAGGCTCAGCTCTGATACTACCTGGTATCCTGCCAAGCAGGGTCCTGGCACAATGTGAGGGGTTGACATGGGCTGTGGACTGATCTCAGATGGCACTTTGAATAAAGATGCTCTGCTTCAAGCGTTGAGGGGATTCAAGCATATGGATGTGAAGTGTGCTATACAGGTTGATCACAGGACAGAGCAGGACCTTGATTAGGTTCTTAGTAATACAGGGCCTCTTAACTGGGAACATTTTCAGTCTCAGACAAAGCACAACTATCTCTAATCAGTCCCTAGTTTTGATCTTGTGCAGGAGCAGTGTCTTCCCCACTGCCAAATTTCTTCATCTACTCTAACAGTGAAAGAAAACTTCTTTATGTAGGGGTACTTAAAGGTTGTAGTTATCAGCAACAGAAGTCAGTGTTTACTCTGGAAAAGGGCAATGGGTGGTTTGTTTTTTTTCTGAAGATGATCCTAGGTGGTAACCAATGCTTCAAAAGGTTTTTTATATTTCTTTTACTGACTAGTTGCAAAAACACAACACAATCATAATTGTTCTCTCTCCTGTAGTGAAAAATAATTACCAGGGCATGTGATGGGCTAAAGGCTAGAGGGTGTTAAGTGATTGGCATGCAGTTAAAACAAGCAAATAGTTTCATAATTCCTCTTTCTAATGCTACTGGGCATAGGGGATTTAATTAATTGAAAATTCCATTTTATCTAATCTGGGACCATAGACACTGCTAGGAATTAATCATAAGTTAGCCAGTTACAGGTGAGTAGCATAATTACAAAGCAGAGTTCAGACTGGAAATGTGTAATTAAATTAGTCAGTTTAAATTGTTTGGTTCTGAATTTAGATTTATCTAATTCTGAAACTGCTGCTGTTAAAATGCTTATTTCTAGCACTATGTAACAAGTACAAGGCTCCCTGCCCAGAAATGAGTAACATGTATGCCCCCACCATAACCCTGTTAACATGTTATCATGTCATGTTAACATGAGTATCATTTGAAAAGGAAATTTTAGTTGTTGTAAAACAATTAACTAGAAGCTGTCCAAAGTAGCTTGATATTGTGCTTTTTATTTCCCTACTCCTTTCCCCGTACCCAATATAATTACTACAGAGCAGAAAAGTCCCACTGGAAACTAACCTGTTCATCACAGGCAAGGAGCTCAGATCACAGTAAGTGTAATCACTCTTGGTTCTTCTCTAATATGTTGGCATACTGTCATATAGTACCAAAAAGCAGACAAACGATTTGGTTGATTTAAGCTTTTTCTTAGCATGTATGTCTGAACAGCACGTCCAGCGTCCCTGTGGGGCAGTTCTTCACATAAGAAGCTGTGGTTTAACAGATAGAAAACAGGAAGGTTGCAACTGTGGGAAAAGATAGTTCTCTAAATCCCCAGCAGGGACCTGAGAAGGCACTAGTGATCAGTGTTCCAAATCCCTGACTGGCCTAACAGTGAGCATTAGCTTCTCTTCCTTTTGTGTTTTTAAACCTAATAAAATCCAGTTCTTTTCTGTCTTTCCTCTTCCATATCCCAGGTTCCATATACAGTATACAAAGCTTTCTGATGGTGTTATTTTACTTCTAGCAGCATTTTTAAGCCAGTTACGAGCATATTCATTTTTAACATTTTTGCTATTCTAAGAGAAATGTAGTATAAGCCTTACAAATCTGTATTCATGGATGAAATTATTTATTTCACAGGATAGCACAGGAACATGCATTACAAGAAAATACTATCAAAATAATCATAAATAAGAAGCAGCTTGACCTGGGTATGTATATGTAGTTGAGTGTATTTTTATGATAATTTTCTACTTTACTGATTCTCAGAAGAAAACCCTCTTGCAATTCTGTTAACTTCAGAAATTCCCAAGGAATAGCAGTTATATTTGTCAGGTTCTGCTCTACAGGAAATTCAGTAACTTATAATGATTAAAATTCTTAGATAGAATTAGAGCAATTATAGGAATCTTGTAATAAATATTGAAAATCCATTTTTCAGGTGTTGAAACACTGAAAATGCACATTTAAGAGAAACCCTAAAGTTCCTTAAACATGGTGTTTAACTGCACATTCAGAATCTTTTTGTAATGCATTACACGTATTCAGCTCGTCAGACATGTTGTGGGAAGTGATGACAACAGCTTTCTGTTTATTGATGGCCTAAGCATCTGACACATTTATTTCTCCTAGAATATGTCAGAATTAGAGCCATGGATTTGACAATAGGAACTCAGATTTAATTCCAAATTCCTCTGTCCTGTTACTGTCCTGTTGTGGTGTTTGATCCTGGACATGCTGTTGTTCCAGTTTTTGTCTGAAGATCAATTAACTGAAACAGAAACAATTGTGGTTTTTAATGTGTTCGGGAGGGAGGGAAGGCAAGCAAAGAAACATTCATTTAAAAATCATTTAAACTAATGAACCAATCATTTAAAAAGCACTTTTAAGATGCAAGTCTGATTTGAATTTCTGCTGAATATGTCAGTAATTGTTAGGGGTTTTGATTGAGTTCTTGAGTCTAGTAATTACTATAGTTCTTCAGTACAGTACAAGCAAAGTAAGGGGCCATTCAGTTTGGTTGGTTCATGGCTGGTGGTGTCCTCCCCCAGTGGCACTACAACGTAAAATGGTCTCTCTCCACAGAGCATTTGGATTGTACTCATCATACTCTATTTTGCAGGCAGAACCCTTGAAGACCAGGGCATAACACACAATGCAAAAGTGATGGTACTTCAGCTGGAACAGAGTGATGAGGAAACTAAAAGAAAAGTTCAGGAAGAAGAACTTCAACACAAGAAAGAAAAAGAAATAAATGAAAAGATGCAAAGAACTAAGAAGGGTTTGGAAATTCTAGCAGAGAGAGGTAAGGGGGCTTGTTGGGGTTTTTTTTGTGGAGAGGGTGTTCATGAATTCTTGAGCATCAGAAGTTACTTTCTCAGTAGATTTTCAACATAGAAGAATGCTTGTGCTGTGGCTGGATTTCGGTTTATGCTTTTCAAGGTTTCTGCCTACTTGAAAACTGATTTTAAGTTGACTAAAACTTCCTTTCTACTCTAACCCTTCTTACACAACTAGAATGCCAGAAGATGTTTTGCACTTCAAGAAGGATATGACTCTATTATTTAATTTGCACTTGTCAGTGAAGGAACTGGTCAACTCTTGAGAACAGGCTTTTAATTTATTGTAGACATAAGCACAGTGGAATAATGTATTGTAAGTCATTAAACACTTTCTTGTGGTCTTCCTTGGATACGGCTGTGCGTAACCATGGTTTCATTGTGCAGAACAGCTCACTTGTCATTCTCATATGTAATGTGACTGTTGTGGTATTGTTGTGTTTGTTGATTGCTGGTGACTGTGGATTAAGTTAAAGGGATATAGTCAATTTAACTGTAAGAATTTTTCAGAATGAGGTTGTGTTTGTGCGTTGCATTGCTAGTTGGTGAGTTTAAATCACTTCTCTATTGTTTCAAAAATCCTCAAACAAGAAACTGTGAAACTGAGTATGTAATGAATTCCTGCCAATTGCAAAAATACCTGAACAAAGCTTCTTTTAATGGTCAGTGACAGCCTGTTTCTTACTACAATATCGGATTTCGAATAAATGAAAGAAGTGATTTCTTTTATTGACTTCAGGCGTGATTTAGACCCCAGCCCTTGAATTCTTCTATAGGGCCTTTTCAAGGTATTTACCGCTAACGGTCGGTTATTGCCAGAGCTCAGAGTGAAGCCCACAATGGGCTCATAGGCTGAAGGTTCTGTGTGAAGCAGAAAGAATTTAACAACCCTTTTGTTTCATTTGAGAAAAAATTGAAGGGCTGAAGCTTTTAATCTCAGCTAACTCCTGCTTAACTGTCTCTTGTCTACAAGAAAAAGCATCTTTTCATTGTAAATCAGATGGAATTGAAAACAAAATTGATAGTTTGGTTATAAGCATTAAAGCTGTGGGAGAAGGAAAATACTGAGCTGTTGTTTGCCTCCCCCACTTTCCCCAGTTTTATGAACAGTGCTCAGTTGTGGGTTTGTATTTTTTAATACTCTATTTAATAAATCATTTCAAGTGTTCTAGCATGTGAAATGATAGGTGTTTTGTCTTCTGCAAATAATTCCTTACAACTCATGTAGCTTTTAATGTTGTGTCTAAGTTTCTGGATGCACAAGGCCTTTTCCTTAGTGACCTTTCTAAAAGTTCCTCATATTTGTCTGAGCAGGGCTACTGTTGGTGGATATGTCCAAAAAACTACATGAGTCTTTATATGTAATTCAGGGGGGTTTCTGTTGTTGGTTGTTTGTTTTTTTTTTCTGTGTAACAATGCACTTACTGACATAATCTTATGACAGCAGAGTTGTTCTGTTAAAGATGGTACTTAAAATTTAAACCGCTTTTTCTTATCTTTCAGAGGAATACTTGGATCCAGATTCTGTTCCATACCTAGATATAGCTAACCAAACAGGAAGGTCAATCGAGATTCCTCCTCAAGCTAAAAAAGTAGGTGAAAGAATCTTAGAAAACTGCTAAGATGGCTTTTTAAAGCTTGATTTGTGAAGCTTTTCAAATATGGGATTGAAATACTGTCAGACTTTTGGGGGATGTAATCCTGGCTCCACTAGATGCTTGCTTCTAGAAATAACTTCGCAATAAAATTGAAGTAGAGCTTTAGAATTGGGAATACTTCAGTCATCTGGAGACAGACCTCTGATTGCTGACCGAATCACAGGTCTGATCTTGCACTGACCCCTGTGTGGCCCATATCTTATTTTTGAGTCTTAACATGGGCTTTAACTTTGGTATATCCTAGCGCCTATTATAAGTTTGGGGTGCCCTAGTATGGCATGAAATGAACTTGTTTGTTAGGCCTTAATTTCAGATGGATACTTGGCAAGTCTCTCAAGATTCTTTTAAAATAGCTTTGAGATCTTTTGAACTGTGATCCCTCTTAAATTTGTCCACCTTTCAAGAAAGTTGCACATTCTCAACTGAAAATATCTTTGGGTGTATTGAATTACAGTAGGAGTGACCTACCTGATGTTCTGCTGAAGCAGAGGAATAGTGACAGATGCATTCTTTTAAGATTGTGGAATTTTCTAAAGATAAATAAATATCTTTATAAATATTTGGAAATACATGCAGTAACTTAAAAAAAAAACCCCACAAAACAACCTTGGGGAAAAATGAGCAGGCCCCACCATGTGCTGACTGCTGCTCTAGCCTCTCCTGAAATATACTGTGTGTTCTGCATCGCCTGGCGTTTCTGAATGATTGGAGTAGCAACAGTCCATTCTCACAATGCCTGCTGTTCTGATGAAGTGCTGAAAGTCATAATTCACCTGAAGAATTAAAGCATCAAATGTTCACACACACAAGATTTCATCAGTATTGAACATGGGTGAGAGGAAATACTGCAGGTTGTTTCTATCCAGAGGTATTGTTCACGTTTCCACTCGTCATGCTGCAGGAACTACAGTGTTTTCCTGCCACATTCAAAATTTCATTTTAAGTCCTGAGGTTTTGCAGGAGGTGAATCATTAGGTTTCACAGATAGTTGTAATAAGCAAAACAAATCTGATGCTGTTATGAAGTGTAGCACCTAGAAAAAAGCTTAGCTTTTTATCACTCACCATTGAAAATCTATCGAGGATTGAATTCTTAAAACAAATTTGGTGCAATGTTTCATGTGTTGGTAACATGAACTGCTTTTAATGAGACAATACCTGACGTTAGTAGATCCAAAAAAAGTATGAAGCAATGTGAATTAGTGCTGCTCTTATAGAACTGATGCGATGGTATTTTTCTAGGACAAGCAAGGGCTCTAATGGTTTACCTAGATACTACTTCAGTTATATAATTGAGTTGGGGAAGTGCAAAAGATAAGTCTTAATCTGTTTTTCTAGGCACTTGTGCTGGCAATGGGTTACCATGAGAAGGGCAGGGCATTAATGAAGAAGAAAGAATATGAAATAGCACTGCCGTATTTGTTGGATGCTGATAAACACTTCTGGTAAGAACTTTTTTGAGTCCTTGTGTTTCTTTCCATTGCTGACAGCCTAATCCAGGAGCAGCATGAGCTCTACCTGTGCTTGTAAATCAGGGCCTGTTTCCCCAGGATTGCTTCACACCCTCTCTGCAGATGAGAAGCAGCAAAGTCTCAGACTTGCAGTGACAGGTGGCTTCTTGTAGAACAGCTGAAGCAGATACTGCCACCGGGCAATTTAATCTTTCATGCCAGCATAAACAGAAACTGTCAATATTCATGTACAAGGCTATAAATTGGATTAGCTCAAGAGACAGTTACAAATACTTGTTTGCAATTGCTCCTATGAAGTAATAATTTTGTGTAAAAGGTGGAGCAGATCAGTGAGATCACTAAACATACCAAGATTTCTGTGAATAAACTAGTTTCCTGTCAGCAGTCAGAGCTCTGTATTGCACTTTTGATATCCCCAAAAGTAATACTGGCCCTATCTGTTTCTCATTTGTGTGTATGTGCAAGGAGACTAGCACAAAACCTGGCATGTTCACTTGCGCTAAGGAAGACAGTTACTCTGTCCACTCAGAGATTACACAGGCTTTAATTCTGTTCTGCTTTTAAAGAGATGCTGGTTTAAATAGTAGTCACAACTAATTTTGTTACTGTAATTCTTTTGAGATGTAGTGTTATCATTAGCATCCTTCATACTAGTGAATGGGATGGGAGATCAGTGCTTTGTTAAAATTCCAATCACATCAGTTTGCTATTTCTAATATGAAGTGTGTGCTTTCTCAAACATGTGAGTGTGCATGTTGTTTCATTAGTGTTAAAAAGTGTGTGTGGAAAAAAAATTAAACAACCCTATCCCCCAAAAAATGAAGTAATTGTTTATTTTTCCAGTGAGTGTAGCACAGAACTGCTGAATACCGTTGATAACTATGCAGTACTGCAGCTGGATATAGTGTGGTGCTACTTCCGTCTGGAGCAGCTGGACTGCCTGGATGATGCAGAGAAAAAGCTGTCCACAGCACATAGATGCTTCCAGCGGTGCTACGGGGAGAACCATGAAAGACTTATTGATATCAAAGTATGCTGTTTGTTTGGGGTTTTTTGATTACAGTGGCTTTTTGTTTTTTCTGCATGTATTCAGGTATTGTTGAGGTATTACAAGACTGGCTTTTAGAAGTTTAAAGTTAGCCCGTAATCTAGTTGTGTGTTTATCAGCATAGTGGAAGCACTGGACCTGACAAAAAGATCACGGCAAACACGTGTTTACATAGAATCATAGAATGATTTGGGTTGGAAGGGGCCTTAAAGATCATCTAGTTCCAACCCCCCTGCCATAAACATCTTCCCCTAAGACCAGGTTGCTCAAAGCCCCATCCAGCCTAGCTTTGAACACTGCTACGGATGGGGCAGACACAGCTTCCTTGGGCAGCCTGTTCTAGTGTCTTACTGCCCTCACAGTAAAGAATTTCTCCCTAATAGCTGATCTGAATCTACCCTCTTTCAGTTTAAAGCCATTCCCCCTGTCCTATCCCTACATGCCCTTGTCAAAAGATTTCCTGTAGTCCTCTTTAGGCACTGGAAGCTGCTCTAAAGTCTCCCTGGGGCCTTCTCTTCTCCAGGCTGAACAAGCTCAGCTTTCTCAGCCTGTCTCCACAGGATAGGTGCTGCAGCCCCCAGAGCATCTCTGTGGCCTCCTCTGGCTCACTCCAGCAGCTCCACATCCTTCTTCTGCTGGAGGCCCCAGAACTGGGCACAGTACTGCGGTGGTGGTGAGGGCCTCACCAGGGCGCAGTGTTGGTGGAGAATCCCCTCCCTTGACCTGCTGGTCATGCTCCTTTTGATACAGCCTGGGACACAGGTGGCTTTCTGGGCTGCAAGCACACACTGCCAGGTAAAGCATGTACACATACACAGACATCATCAGTGGTTTAGATGTGATACTTTCTCTGCAGACAAAGCGTCCCATATTAGTGACTATGTCTTCTTTAAACGTGTAAAGTGTTCTACTGATAATGAACTGATATTCTACCGTATGCTTCTACCCGTGTGCCTCTCTTGTTTAAACAATTCTTTAGGGAAGCTATGGTCGTGAGAAGGTTTTATTTCTACGACTTTACCTCCTTCAAGGGATAGGACACTATCACAGTGGCAGAGAAAAAGAGGCTGCCGAGTATATTCAGAAGGTAAGAGACCATTAGGTAAAACTTTTGAGTCCTTCACACTAGCTCCCATGTTTGGGCTTTGCCTTGCACCTCTTCTTTGCTTACTCAGAAAAATAGTGAGACTTCTTCTGTTTGTACATTAGCAACAGTGTAAGTAGTGTAATTCTGTTCTTTCTATATACAGGCATCTTGTTTATATGAAGAGCTGTCTGTAGATCCTGATAAAGTTGATTGCCTGTCACTCCTGGGATTCTCCGAACAGGAAGCTCGGCTTGCCCTGCGAGCATGCCATGGGAATGTGGAGCATGCTGCCAATCTTATCACCAACAGGAGAGAGGTGTGGTGCAGTGAAAGTAGTAAATCAAGGATCATGTTAGTTTGGGTGTCCGTAAGATCATGTTTTGCATGCATGGCTAGTGTAACATGGTGCTAAATTACGGACTTTGATTATCCTGCTTTGGTGCTATTAGTGAAACTGACAGCTTGACATCTGTTGCCACAAGTTTGAAACTAAAACTTAATACAACAAGGGAAGCTCTGTCCCAAAACAGATGGCATGTGGGAGCCAAAGACCAGTGGTTGTACCAGCAAGGCACATAGGAAGTCTTTGCATCAGTGTTTGCTACTCAGCAGTGGTCCGTGTGAGAATAAAAACACCATGATCAAGCTGTCATTCTTGGGCTTGGCTGGTCTGAAAGGCAAGAGGCTGTACAATGCAGTGCTTTGAGCATAACCATTAAGTGATGAAGTATTATGGCTTTGGATTCAGAGATCCAGGAGGGGAGAAGGATTTTTTTGTGCTCAGGTGAAGTGAAGACAGTGTTGTCCACATCTGAAGTGCCTCAAGTTAGGTTTGGTAAGCTGCGGTGGCAGTTCTAGACTTCAGACAGTGGAATGTGGATGGCAAAGTCAAATTGCCAAGAGAAGGGCTGAGCAGAACTCCTCGGCTACATCCCTGCTTCTGACTGCGTGTCCTGTCCTTGGCAAGTCTTGTCTACAGCCCCATCTGCCAAATGGGTTTATCACTTACCACACAGGGCCTATAATAACTGTGACAGCATAAGATCTGGTCCACAGAGTGGAAGTACAGCTCATGGAAATGCACTTCTATTTAGTACCAACTGCCTGGCAGCACAGTCTGTATTTAAAAAAAAATAAAAATACCTTTGCCTCACGAAATGCAAACTTGAAGTGAAGCCAAGAAACCCTACATGCACAGGGGAAGGCTGAAGCATTCCCATGCACAGTGAGCTCTGTAATGTCTGTGTTACTGCAGGAAAAGGCACAGATAAGGAGGGAGGAGAGAGCCAAAAGAAGGAAGCGACTGGAAGACATCAATACCTTGAAAAGTATGGGATATTCGGAGAGAGCTGCTCAAATAGCTCTTCATAATACACAAGGAAACCTAGACCAAGCCTTTAAGGTAAGTGATTTTCAGGAGTGGTACTTCTGTACAAAAAAAAAAAAACCACAAAAACCAAAGCCCTTGTTCTCTTGCTTTATTTATTGTTTAGCAGGTTCTAATCCCTCTCTGTTTTATTGTAGTTTATTCTTGACAATCCTGAGTTATTGTTGGAAGACGATGATGATGATCCTGTGGCCATGGACCGGTTTCAGGTTTCCCAGGAAAGTATTGATCAAGTAAGTTAGGGTGCTTGCTTTCTTAGGCGTTGATTGTCTTGTTTCTGAATTACACCTTCAAAACCACCGGATCTTCTGTAAGCTAAGATGTACAAATACTCTTTGAGCCATGTCACTCAGGCTGTCACACTGCCATTGTCTGGCATCCGCTCTTCATGGGGAAGTCACACTTGGGCTAAAATGTCATCCGTGTGGGCTTCCTGCCCCTTGAACCAACCTGCCACACAGAGATCCAGAGGGAATTATGTGCACTCTTAACACTCCATCCCCCAAAAGAAGTCTCTAAACATTGCAGTGCACGAAGGGAAGGAGTTGGAGTGTGCATCATCAGTTGTCTGAAAAGCTCTCTGGAGTTAGTGCGGCTGTGTAATTAATGTCAGATAGGCAAGAAAACTCTATTGCCTAGAAAAACTAAATACCACTTACACCCTCCTGATATGCTGGAGTGCTCTGAAGTCTCCTTTTGAAAAACAGAAAAAAGAATTGGTCTGATCTTAAGCAACAGGCTCTTGATTCTGCTCAACAGTCCCATTCTTTAGTAGGTCACTGCCCTGTCGTTAACTGTTCCAGTAAACCAGAGTCAGTGTCCTGGAATTCCTGGCATGCGGCGCGCTCCTCTGTGCAAGAGGAATGACTGGCAGACACGGAGTCAGATTCCTGTCAGATTGGTGCTGAAGAAGCTTGGACTTCTCCAGATTTCATGTTTTTAATTTCTTCCCCCCTCTCCTGCAGCTGATGTACATGGGTTTCAGCCGTGAGTCAGCAGAGCAAGCTTTAAAGGTCTTCAAAGGCAATGTCCACTTAGCTTCCCAAACCCTTGCTCATTATGGGGGAGTTCTTCCTGCTTCACTGCAGCTTTCTCCAGAAGGGTCCAGTCCATCGGAAGAATCAACTTCTTCAAAAGACTCGTCTACAGAGTCTGCAGGTAGGAATGTTGCATACAGGCAGAGAAGTGGAAAGGCTGTTCTTCTGGCTCTTGTGTGAAACAATTAAAGGTTTTCTGCTTAGACACTGGTAGAGGGCCCAGACTACTGTTGGCAGTAACATAGTTACAGACGAGGCCTCCATTACCCCAGATAAGCTACGGCCCCTGCAGTCAGTGACAGCTGGATATAGGACCATAAGGGATATCTGTTGTCTGTAGGCAACATGAGAATGGCTGCTGAGTGGGCTGTGGCTTCAGCCCATGAGGCTGGAGGCCTCTGGTGTCTGCATCCTCACTTCCCTGGTGAGGAACATGTGGCCTCTCCAGCCCACAGGCAATTCCAGCTTCTCATACCTAACTGTATTTGCTCGCACCAGCTCTTGTTTAAAAACAAACCAGCCTCTTTCTGCCTGTACTCTTCAGAGAGCAAGTACTAAGTTGCTGGAGCATCTTCCCTGGACCTGCCACTGATAATGATGATACTTTGGCTTGCTAATATCTGGGTTCTGACTGCTAGGAAGCTTATTGCAGATCTGTACTATAAAGTCAGCTGATTTGACCACATACTCCCTCCTTATGTCCCTGGCGTGGTAGAACCATAACTGATACTTGCCATTTGGCAAAGAAGAAATTCGTGTACTTTCTTGTTTTTTGTCAGACCTGTAGTGACCCTGTTGTACAACTAAAGGCTCTCCTAAATACAGCTTTAAATAACGGGAAAAAACTGGCCATCCTGCAATATCCTTTGCAGAGCACTTTTAAATAAGAGGTAGTGTTACAGTAGGACTCGGAGAGCAGTCATGCTGGGGGAAGAGGGAAGTGCCAGCTGCTTTCAGAGGTGAATTCACTGCTGCTACTTCTTATTGGAAGGTTCTTCTGGTTCACCAACAGATGAAGATATGGAGAATGATGCAGTCAATGAGATCCTAGAGGATATTCCTGAACATGAAGAGGATTATCTGGATTTAACGCTGGAGGAAGAGAAACAGATCATCCATGAATACTTGTCCTATATACAAGTACCACAGCAATAAATCCCTTTATATTTACTTCAGTTATATGTATTTACCTTGACAAATTGAGTTTGGATTAAAAATGCACCTTCAGCTTATCTCTTACTAAATGCCTTGAATTCAGTTAAACTATAGGAGGAACACTAAATTCTTGCTTAATTTATAAATCCACTTAAAGCCTACATTTGTGATACATTGTAATTTATTGTCATAGCAGAAAAATAGAAACATTTATTTTCAGAAGGAAATTTAATAGAACTAAACTATATTTTTATCGTGAAATAAGTTAATTCACTTAGTATTCAAGTAAAGAAGCATTTCTATACCACTTTAAAATACCAGCTTTAAAGAAACAGAAGTGAGTTTGTAAACCAGAAACCCAGCTCATGAGGTTACAGAGGTATCAACTTTCCAACTGTTCTTTTCTTCTGAAAGATTTCTAAGAGACATTTATGTATCTGTTGTGCATGGATTGATACTGTGTCTGCTTGTTACTTCCTGCAGGTGTTACACAGGTAATAAAGGTAACTCTGTGCTGCTGCTTTTAGTAAGGGTCTTCTATGCTTTGGTTTTAAAAACCAATAGGAACTACTGGGCAGGAGGCTGCCCCATCAGACCTGAGCCCTGTGCAGTGGCATTTCCTTATCTAACTAAACCAGCTGTTCCTAACTAAACAGCTGTTGAACAAAGCTTGCGTCAGGCACTGTCTCAGTAGTTGTATCCAGCTTCAGCACGCTGGAGAAATAGTTGGGGTTTTGTGTGTGTGTGTGTTAGAACACCCTGTTTTCTGCTGTGTAAGCCTCGCCGCTGGGAACAGAAGTTCCTCTACTTGGCAGCTCTGCTGAAGTGTGGGTTATTTGCTTTTCATAGCTTCGTTCTCGCGGTAGAGGGAGCTCAGGCCCCGTCTGCTCCAGCTGCTGGGAACCGGCAGTGATCCCGCTTAGAGCGGGGCCTAAAGGCAGCTCCTGGGACAGGAACCTTCATCTGATGACAGCTGACTCTTACCTAGCGTTTATCAGTGGGGAAGTGAGGCCTGGGCTCGTGGCAGGGCAGACTGATGCTGGCGGAAGCAGAGCTAGGGGCTGTGAAGTGACTGCTCGCTTCCAGTGGATGCACTTACGTAGTGGATATCGTTGTTTCTGGCTACCTTGGCCAACGACAGCAACAAGCAGGGAGTGATTACACTGTAATTAAGGAGTTAGTTATTTGTATTTCGTACTTCTGTATCAAGGTGAGGGCTATAAGAATTGAGTAGCTTTGCATCTCCTCCCAGAAGGTTGAAGCATTTCCGAAGACAGTAATACAAGCTTCTGAGAAACAACCAGCCCCTGCAACCATTATATCCCACTTCTATACAGGTGAGCACTGAGGAACAACTGGACAAAATGCGGAGCAAAACCAGCATATAAAAAAGAATTGAAAATTGAAGACACACAATGTGACGCATGTAGTGTTAGCAAGAAGCAGGTGGGAAAGCACATATTTATTCCTTCCTTTAGCAGTGGGGGATCCCAAGCCTACTGCCATTACCTTGGCTAGCCCTGAGGCATGCAGGAGCGTTGGGGTGTACAGGCGCCATTTCTCCTCTTTGAAGTGGCTTGCAGAGCAGACTGCAGTGACAACTTCAGAAGTGAAGGTTTGTCCTTGGGGAATTTAAAATTAGCATTGTAACACGCAGTGCTTGTCAGAGAAGCCATTCCTCCCTCATGGAATTCTGCCGGCGCTGCTGCCACATCACTGTGTGTGCAGTTTTCAGTGGCATTGGCTAGAAGTTTTAAAGTTAATTTTGACCACGTATTTGAAGACACTGTGATGTATTTAACAACAGCCAGAAGTGGTAATGACATTAATTCCATTCTTTGAGATCTATGTCTATGGAATCCATTTCCTAATTCAGTGTGCAGCTGCTGTAGGGCCAGATAAGCTCTTGTGTCTAATATCCTGCATCCAAAGATCTAAACAAAAAGATGATCTGTGCATCAGATCATCTGAAGGCCTCCTATTTGGCATTGACCTCATAAGCAACATACAGGCAAAATGAGCTGCGTAGCAAGCCATCATTCCAACAACCAAGAGCCACCATTACATAAAGATGTCTCGTAGGGCCACTACCGAGCTGCAATGACCAGACCAAGACTTTTGCAGTGGAATTATGGCTTCACTGTACAGATGACCCCCCCAAATTAGTGGCCCTAGGTATGCTCTTAACACAATTTAAATACTGTTTCCTACTAAACATGGAAACCTGCCAGGTAAGAGCAAAGCTGCTTGTCAGGAGCGACAAACAAGCAATGACAGGCCCACCAGTGAGGAATAGGTAAGAAATGTTTCCAAAAGTGTATGTATTGCCATGTTGCATCCATTCTGAGCTGCAGCCAGCCAAATCCCCTCTAAATGAAAATAAAACCTAGACAATGAGTTGGCTGTAGATGCCACATGTTTATTAGTCCATTCTAAAAAAGGATTACAGCATCTTTATCTTGCTGTAGTACAGAATAAATAAAGCCATAAAAATAAAAACATGTGGTTAGATACTTCTGTACTGGTTCTACAAAGAGTTATATCTGCAAATAGAAAAATAAAAGAACCCTTGTTTATTCATGGCTCAGTGGTTATCACAGAAGGATGAACCTGGAAAGAGACTGGGAGAGCTTCTCGTGAGCTTGGCTACTTATTTGACACTACTAATGACCTAGAAAACCAGGGTTAGGCATGGCCTTGTAAGAAGGAAAGGTAACAAATCTAGAGTGCCCAGTAAGTCCTTCTGGTTTGGTCTCCTCTCCTCTGAAAAACACAGTTCCCGGTGGATATAAGGAAATCCTTTCCCTGTGAGGCCAGCCAAACAGTGGCCATGCAGACATGGTAACCTAGTGAACAGCTGAAGTGAGAGATCATCAAAGGTAAAAAAAGAACCTGCCAGGTTTTGGGGAGGAGGACAACTGCTGCGTCTTGGCAAAGAGCTGACCTTGGCACCAAAGGTCTGAGAATCAGCTTGTTCTTTAGGTTCTCTTTTGTTAATTTAATGTCTGTCCTACTACTCCCAACTTGCCAGAGAGGTGGCATCTGCTTTAAACTGCTCCTGAGCCATTCCATTCTGCATCGAATGGTCGTATCAGCAAAAAACTAACCCAAAGGTCAATTGTGAAAAATGGATTTGTAGTCTGTCGTGGTTTAAGCCCACCTTTCATTTCCGCAGTCGGCTGTACAGAGGGCATGCGAGGGGGCAACAGGAACAGGAGACAACATTTCTTACTAAATGGTAGACAGGCAGAAGCGTGCAACACCTCTGTGCCAGAGGGAACTGAAAACAAGCAGTTGTGAGTGAAGTTCTTAATTACACACACACAAGATACGTGACCTGAACCACACTGCAGTCTCTCCTGTCCCCAGTGCTGCTCAGATGTGAGTCATCAGCAGCAACAGAATCTGACTTGAGCCCATCTGCCACTCACAGAGAACCCTGGCTCCTAAAAAAGAGGTTTCCCAAAAGCTCTTTCCCATCTCTTTCCAAGTTCTGGTTTACATGGACACAGTGGTGCATAAAACAAAAGGTTCAGCTTTGGTCACTGCTGGGAAGTCGGGTGTGGGGTCACATCAGTTCAACGGCCTCATGTTCCCCATTTTCTTGCTGCACCATGCAGCCAACTTTGTTATTGAAGAGGCGAGACAGACTTCCCTTCTGAGAGCCCCGGCCCTGGGCAGACCTCTCCTTCTTCAAACGCCGCTTGTTTCTCTTGCATATTCCCCGGATGTCCCAAATCCTTAGCGTGCCATCATGGGAAGCTGTGTAGAGCAACTCGTTGTGGATCTGGAACAATGGGGTCAACACTTAATACCAAACTGTACAGCTTGGAATCAGCACAATCAAACTGTCAAAACTCAGAGCAAACACAGCTTGATCCCAACACTTGCAGCCTGATGGCTCATTGCAGAAGCCGGTATAAATTATCATGAAAGCTGCTGAAGTGGGATGAGCCATTACCAAGTCAGGACTCATTTCTCACAGAGCCATAAAATGTAAACAGCAAGAGTTATTTATAACCTAAACCCACTAGAAAAGCAATGGGGAACTAAACTCAGTGTCAGAGTAGGCTGTAGCTGGGAATTACTGTGCTGGTTTCAGACTGCTGGTTTTGAAGACAAAGCTTAAGGAGGCACCAAAATTGGCAGCAGTGAGCAGTAAGTCTTCCTTCTTCCTTTGCAGTAAGTCACGGGCACATTTCCTTCTTCAGCACTTGTTGTTCTTCCAAACCTACAGTAACCTGACTTGAGTCTTTCCTGTAGTTTCATTTCCTTAATGAAACACTTAATGCTGTTGGTAACATTTCCAGTTGTCCTCACCGCGCTCTAGCAGCAGTGTTGGTCTCCATCATCTTCCCCTTCCTGTGCCGGCCTGTCCCCAGCGGGATGCCTGCAGTCTCCAGCAGTGGGCAGCAAGAGCCAGTATCGCACCAGCCGGCTGGCTTCCAGCAGCAGGAAGCAGCCCAGCTTCCTCATCCCTCAGCCACCCCTCACTAATGTACTAAAGATCACATTCAGGTCGCCACTTCTCAGAGGCTGAGGGATACCGTGCCCAGGATGTTAGAAGGGTAATGCTATTTACTAGTCTGCTTGGATAAGGCTGAAACTTCTATTCCCCCTAAAGCACTGCAAACACTTACCAGTGTCTTGTAACGGGAGGGGTCTTGTGAGGCCGGAGTCCATTCCCTGCCCCTGCACAGGTTCAGTTACATCTCTGTCATTTCTTACATTATTAGGCTTGTCTAACCTGACCTGGAAAACCTCAATCCCAGACATAGGGCTGTCTATGGGGGCTCAGTGTGTGGTTTCACTTATCCTTATTGTTATCAAGTTTTTCTAAAATTGCATGAGCAATATTCAAGTCTGCTACATTTCATCTTACCCTAGAGCAGCATCCAATCCACAACACACAGAACAGCCAGCCAGCCACACCAATTCCCGCAAAACAAACGAGGGAGCAACCAGAAGTGTGAAATCCCAGCAAAGAAACCCCTTCCCAACCTGGATGCAGTTAATGATGAACTTGTGTCCTCGGAAGATCTTCTGCAGGACACCACTCTTGGAATTGAAAGCTCTTGCACAGGCATCGCCACTTCCCGTGAACACTGCAATGCAACGACACAACACGGCACGTGGCCAGACATGAGCAGCCACGTATGGTCAGTTCATGCAAGTTCGACAACATACCTAAAACTAGTTCACAAAGGAGGCCAACATAGGTTCTTTGGCTTGATTCTCTTCTCATTATAGCAAGGGCAGATCATTTTCATTTTGCTGAGCCCAGCATGCTTGTTTTCATTGTATTTTTCAAAACACTCAACTGCCTTACACCTCAAGTTCCTACACATTTCTGTTTCTGCTTTTCTCTTCCACTTGTATCTTCGTACCTAAACATGCTTCAGTAATTCTAAGCAGGCAATTTACCTCCAGCCTAGTTTTAAGGATTTCCACTAAGCCTTCCACTTGTTTTACCATAGTTATTTCCAGGTTTCTCTTTAGTACTACTGTACCTTCATCACTTCTACTGCAGCAGAAGCACCTGTACAGCAAAGCTGCAAACCACAGGAACAGCATTTCCCCCTCTCACATAATGATATGAATTTGGTTTAAGCTTCGTTAAAATATACTGTGTTTCTTCCCCCTTTCAAACAAAAACTTACTACTCGTAGGCAGGGCCATTTCTGTCAAAACACTACAGTTAAATCTGTCCTCAGAGGTGAGTGGCATGTGTAGGCAGCTTTACAAAGAAGCTTTATAAATTCTTTGAGCGTGGTAGATTTCTTCCACTAAATCCTGTAGCCTAGGATCTCTCCAAGCAGTAGAGCCTTTAAGTGATTCAAGGCCCAGGCTATAATCTCTATTTCAGTATGGCACCAAATTATTTAAAGGTTTTGGCTATAACTCTATATGTGCTACGTTGTGCATGTGCTACAAGGGGGTGAGGGTTAAGCAAATTAAGCATGACCAGGGATTTGGGCTACTCATCAGGTTTCTTTACAGTGTCTTAACATGTTCAAAGAACAATTTCTCAGCACTTCAGGATCTTCACATGAGATCCCCAGAATCAATTCATCCAGAAACTGTAAGGCAGTGTTAAATATTTAGATTTTATACTTAGCAATATGTCCAAAAAGGAGCATATTTGTGTTTAAGGGTTACAAACTGTCTTCATAAACACTTTCCTTCACTTAACCCAAACTCCTCAAGTTTATCTAGAGATAAATATTTTAGAACTGCAAAAAGCAATATATTCGCTGCTCCCTGCATTTCATGCCTTTGCAAAAGCCACTAGCATGGAAAGGTTTTTACAAAACTGAAGTGCCTTAAGACAACAGCTTCCTTGTCCTTTGGAGGAAGTTAGGCACTGGATTCCTAAAGAGAGATGAAGAAGTTATCACAGCAGTAAATTCAGGACTACAAGAAGAGAAGAGAGAACAGGCCACCCACTGCCATCAGCTTTCCAACCTCAAATTAAACAGCAGGAGGCTGGCTACTGCCTTCATACACCTTCAAGAAGCACCTGGATGTGGAAAATCAGTATCATTTTATATGGGCCACAATAAATTCAATTGCCAATACAATCCTGAAAAACCATTGTGTCCCATTCTGTAAATGAGTAACAACAATGGAAAGCAGGGAACAAAGTACAGGCATTTTTTTTTCCAGTGAATGGGAATCACTTAATACAATTACACACATGCAGAGAGTAGGAACCAATTGAGAGCTGTTTCCACTATGCATCTGTCAGTTTACTTTAGCTATTGCTACCAGGATTTTGCTTTTGACAGACATCCTTTACATCTTTTGAACTGTCACACTGAACTCTACATTTATGAAGTCTCTTTGCACCTCTGTGTTTCAAAGGAGAGCTGTCGATCTGACCTAGATTTAGCATTTAAATGTATTCTTATATATACACAACCTGTGAAACAAACCAATAACCAAAAAATAAAATCAACAACGGATTCTTATTTTTACTTAGATTTCATGGACCCCTGGGAAGGAGAAAAGGTTTTAAATGTTCCCTTGGAGGTTTTGCAACATGAAAAAATACAAGCCACATTAAATTTTAAATGACCGTGCACATACTGTAGGAGATTATCAACATAATATCATTAAGTAAATCAGATTGAGAATCAGCTTTAATATTCCCCATGCTATTAATTACACAAGCAGACTGAGGAGAGCTACTAGAAACACATTCTGATGATTTAAAGCTTAGTTCTCAGATCTGTCTGGACTCCCTGTACACTATAAAGCCATTTTGGAAACACACATTTATTTTTAACTCTTATTCTTCTACTATATTTTCTTGCTTAGACTGTAAACTCTTCAGGGCAACGAGCTTTTGGGTCCTGCTCAGATAACAAGCAAAAGAATTAAGATCTTCTAAGAGAAAGTCACCACTTCTCAGCTGATATTCTTTACATGTTTTGCAGTGGTGCAAATGCAAGATAAAACCTCACAAAGACCATTTAAATTGAAGTATTTTTAAAAGAAAGAATGGACACACAGTGCTGATCTGTCTGTCCCAGGTGAACAGCTAGAGGTTTAAGCTACACTAGCTCCAATATTTAGTATCGAGTGAACATGTCTTTATAATTTTAATTGAAACAAAACTATTAGATACTGTGTAAATAACAGATCAGTGTACCACAATAACACAATCATAGTATATAAATTAATTTTTAAGTGGAAATTTCCTCTTTTGAGAATTAGAATACATTTGAATTCTATTTAGACATTTTTTCCTACCCTTCAAGTGGAACAATTCAATTCTCCCTGTTTGACACTTACAGTATTTTTCCATTTAACTTAAAATGAGCTCTTAAATAACCCTGTGAACACTTGTTTCACACTATCAGGATGTTCTTCACAGGTCTATGACTAAATGTAGCAATATTGCCTGCATTTTGAGGGGGAAAAAAAAAAAAAGGAGTGTTATGGAAAATAATGTATGTGTACGACAGGGACAGGGTGGTAAGACGAGGGGGAAGAGAGAGAACTGCAAAGTTGATGGGGTGGCATCAGATAATGGAACTTTTGTTTAAGCCTAAACTTTCTTTTTGATGGTTTTAGAGAGCCTGGTCAAGTCAATACCGGTCGCATGAGAAACAGATCAACACTGAGAAAACGCAGCTCCAGAGGACTCATTAATGAAGGACCCAGTCTCCATCTCCTACCCAAACATCAAGATTCCTCACTGTGTCAGGCCAACATCAGTTTAGCACAGTTATCTTGCCTTTGGGCACTCCTGAGGAATTCAAAATTTTTTGTATCATCTTTATAATAAAAAGGTGAAAACCACACACACAAAATAATCAGTATTTTGCCTGTCAGTGTTCACCCTGGATTAAAATTTCTGGTTCATTTCCCCAGTCCTACCTACCTGCATCTTTGATCAACAACAACTTTAGGGTGCAGTGTAAACTCAGACCTCTTCCCCTTCCATTTCAGCCTTTTAGCCAGCTGCGATAGCTGAAATCAGCAGAAATTATAACCTGCAGGTAGGGGAGAGTGGGGTAGTTCTGCAATATAGGTGAGGAGAACTGAAATTAACTGTAAATTAGGATTAATTATTTCAATGGAGAAAAGCAGTGCTGTAGGTCTAATGCTCAAAGAATGATCAAAAAGGTCTTCCTGATTAAAATCCAAATCTACCTATGGCCTTGGTTACATGTTAACTTTCCAAACATAATTAACTTTCCAAACATACTGGGTTATACACGTGGTTGGTCAGCCACGCCGAGCATGGCTAGGCAACTGCCATTGAACTGTAATGCTCTTCCAATGTGCATCATCTTGCATTTGTCAGTCCTTTAGCACCATCACAGTGATGATCTGCTAAAAAAGATAACCACAGCCCAAACAGCAACCATTCTTCTGGTGTTGCATATTCACTTCAGAGCTGGAGTACAGAAACTGAAATCAGGCTGGTTATTCTGAGGAAGTCCTTGTTCGGGAAGCAAACGAAGGCACATCACGTTTAACATCACTGGCAGGGTAAGACCAGAATGACACATGGAGAGGTTCAAGATTGATACAAACAGAGGTGCAGCCTTGCAACCCAAACCCAAACATGGATAGATGATATGGAGAAGGAAAGCCATCTGAGGGCGGGATTTAAAGAGGTAGGTTTCATAGTCAGAACATACTCTTATGTCAAAAATAGACAGTTATGTGCAGATACCACTATAACAGGAGTACTGGAAGTAGGAGAACAGAGTCTCAAGCATTAGTAAGGCAAGTAATGCTTGGCTACTGCAGAAAGGTGATTTGGGGAACAGACACATGAAAGAGGACAGATAATGGGAAAAGAACTTGTGCAAAGATAGTCTAGGGCATGGTCAGAGTCTGAACAGGAAGCCTAACTGTTGGAAAGAAACATTGAGCATCTGAGGTGTGATTCTGGTTTAGGAGAGTAGATTACATCTTACCTAGAAGGCAGGAGAGGCAGGCATAGGGCTGCACATCCAGCAGCAGCACTTGCTGTGCCCAAGCATGAAGCAGAAGCAGATTGACAGACATCAGACAGACAGACTAGGGAGGTTAAACCATGGCTATATATATATGTGGTTTATATATATAAATAAACCACAGCTAAGGATTTAAGCCACTTCCCTTGGTAACAGAAATAAAGTAACTGCCTCTTCATTTGCTAGAAAAGAGAGGTGGAAAATAAAGGGAAGATCTAAGCTTCCTGCATGGAGCTGTGCTGATACTGTTGGTACTGAACATAAACCTACTGGAGCTGAAAAAAGTGACAATTTCACAGGCCATCAAAATTACAGCATTCTCTATTATCAACCTTTGATCACAGACAAACATCAAGAAGGGGATTGCTGAACACAGGAAAGGCAACTTACAGATCCCAGCGTGGTATTTCAAAGTGCTAACGCTGTGTTTGTGAGCCTTGTACGTTTGGATTCGCTCCCCAGTGTCTACTAACCAGCACTTCACTGTCCTGTCCGCGCTTCCTGAATACAAGTGCCGATTCACTAGCTGAAGGGAAGAGAAAAAAACATAAGCAATAGTCTTTCAGGCATGTTCATGAGAGAACTGCACTGAAGTGACTCATCCGAAATCACGGTTTCCAACCCAACAGCCTGTTACAAAGTGCAATGACTACACCTTGAAACAGAGGGATGGTGAGCAAAACCAACCTTGCATACTTCATAATTGCATCAACCATTGACTTCTGGGCCTTACAAACCACTCCCACATTTCAGAAGATAAAAAATTAGCCCATCTGCTGGTGTAAGCAAGCAGAATTTCAGTGCTTGCTAACCCTACTTCCATAAGCAGTTACATTAATACAGCCTCAAAAAAAACCCCCAGCAGTGTAGTTTCTGCAAAACATTTTTGACAAGAACTCTGATCAGTTTATGAGTTTCAATTACAACCAAGATTTTTTGAACAATTTTGAATAGCAAAAAAGAAATAAATTAAAAATTAAATCCTACATGACATAAACCAGGGTTTAACATTATCGCTCTGCACAAGGTCAGTATTTGGAAACACTAACTCTTCCCTGAAACTGTTTTGTATCTGCATTTCCACAAGTCTTTTCAGACTGTGTTATCGAATGATTAAATAATTAACCATTCTTACAGAGTTTTTAAACACCTTCAACCAGGTGGGTTGTCTTCGGCTGCTTGTTTAGAACAACTCTGCCTATAAATCCCAAGAAAGAACAGTGCCTCATCACACTAAGTCGTCCCACACACTGTGTGAACTCACTAGTGGTGGAGGTTGGCTTTTATTCCACACAGACATGACAAAGAATGACATAAGGGAGGACTGCAGTTGAGAAACCAAGACAGAGACAAAATAACCAACCTGTGCAAGTCTATAAAACTAACTACATGGTCACAAACTACCCAAAGCCCGGCGGCTCAGTAGGGAAACTCTCCACAGTGCAGGGAAAAAAAATCTATGCCCATCTAATGAAAACATATTAAAGGTTTCAACAGCCATCATCACATACAGCTCTGACTACACACTCCTCCAAGAAGAGGACTAGCCCAACGCCTGCCCTCCAAAGGCAGTGCAATGAAGGCAGCCAGCCATCGCGTCCACTCACAGCAATCCACAGGCTGTAGTTCGAGGTGGGTTTCATAATGCTGCAGCAATGTCTGTACCAAAAGGATGGAGAGGCAGGAGGAAGAACCGGGACCTCCTCAAAGAATTTGCATAAGCAGTAATCACACCCTGTGTCTGCCCCCCAGGCACACAGATCAGAAGGTTCAAATGACCAGCAGAGCACTAATCCATGATGTTTCTCAGGTATCTCCAAGAGACCAGCTGCAGAACAAATGACAAATCAACTTGACATAGGTCATGCCACTGATAAAGCCAGCTGTACTTTGAAATGCCACATCCGATTACTTTTAAGCTGTTTTAACAATAGCATTAATACTACATCTCAGTAAGGAAAGAGCAGAAATGACCAGCAGACAGTTAGCCTGAGGAAAGTGATGTGACTTTTAATTCTCAGGCTCAACCTGAATGGATATGAAGAGCATTGTGACACTGCACCTGCCACATGGAAGAGAATGTCTCGAGTGGAGATCCTGATGTGTTGTTCTTGGCCAAGTCACTGCATTTCTTTTTCAGACATCTTATTAGCACCATCAACCCACGCCCCAAAAAGGGGAAACACTAAGTTACAACCTCCTGCAGGTAAATGCCACTCTGCATTGATGGTAACATCAGGTTATGCTGCTTCACTTCTACACTTAAGTGGCTGTATCAATGCTGAAGTGAAACAGAAAAACTGCAACTTGCCTAGATTTACCAGTTTGCTAGATATAAAAATTATTTAAATGACATGGGCTTACTCAGGTAATTTATAGCACCAGGATCTTAAGAGCCATAGAATCACCAAATGGTTTAGCTTGGAAGGGATCTTCAAGATCATCCAGTTCCAACCCCCTGCCACAGACAAGGACACCTTCCACTAGATCAGGTTGCTCAAAGCCCCATCCAGCCTGGTCTTGGATGCTTCCAGGATGGGACAGCCACAACTTCTTGAGACAACCTGTTCCAGTGCCTCTGCACCCTCATAGTAAAGAACAGCTTCTTAATATATAACCTAAATCTACCTTCTTCAGGTTAAAGCCATTCCCCCTTCTTCTATCCCTACATGCCCTTGTAAAAAGTCCCTCTCCAGATTTTCTGTAGGCCCCTTTAGGCACTGGCAGCTGCTCTAAGGTCTCCCGGGAGCCTTCTCTTCTCCAGGCTGAACAACCCCAGCTCTCTCAGCCTGTCTTCATAGGAGAGGTGCTCCAGCCCTCTGAGCATCTTCATGGCCTCCTCTGGACTCACTCCAACAGGTCCATGTCCTTCTTCTGTTGGGACACAGTACTGCAGGTCTCATGAGAGTAGAGGGGAAGAATCCCCTCCCTCAACCTGCTGGTCACACTCCTTTTGATGTGGCTCAGGATACGGTTGGCTTTCCGATGCCCAGTCAGAAAAATGGCAAGATGGATGGCACAGCAAATATCTTAAATTCAAAGCCTCTGTGCTGCCCAGGTTGCCCCATGATATACTTTTATGAACTTTCCTCCCTCTCATCAGTTTAAGCAGGCAAAGGATTCTCAGCCTTGCATAGAAACAGAATGACTAACAGGTTAAACAATCTACTGGATGCCACAGACTAAGCCTGCAGCACAGCCAACAGCAAAATCCAGTACAAGCTCTGACTGTCACACAGCCTCTCATCTCCATGGCATTTTTAAAATGTAGAGCACGAAACAGCCATTAGTGGAGAAAGCCATCAAGAGCTATCAGCTCAGGTTGAAGCTGCAAATCAGATGTGCCTTTAGTGATAAGATGCAGGCATCATCTCACCTAAATCGATGCAGATACTTACAGCTAAGATAGTCCCCTTAAAGTCACTGCAGTCTAGAGCACAACTTGTCTCACCCTAAAGCAGATGTCTGAAACAGATCATGCCTTAAAACTTGCTGTTTCCCCCAACAAGGACAATCTTCTCAGCTGTAGCCATCTATATCAATATAGGTGAGATGACTCCTCCTTCACTTGACTAAAGATAGTCTAGTTCACAACTCCAACCTAAGCTACAGCACTTCAGATATCTATCTTTAATCAAAATAATAACAATCATCACACACTGTTCGCCTAGCCAAAGTACCTTACAAGCAAACCTCACCCTCTGTGTAATATAAATACCTTCCCTACTTTATAGATGGAGAACCATCACATAGCACAACTATATATATACTATATACATATAGCACAACATCATATAATCCAAAAAAGGACTTGAAATTTCCAGCATCCTAACTTCTAACTGCCCAAATCCCAGAGTGCAGCCCTGATTTGGGAGGCTGATCCAGACTGCAACCAACTCTTTCAGTAACAGCCATCCTTTTCAACACTGTGTGCTTCAGGGCAGTTATGACAAGCAATAGCACATCCCTACATGAATACAACTAGTATCCCTGGATCTGGTCAAGAGAGCATATGAAAACCAGATGGGATTCTGTCTGAAATGAGCAAGACAGGGGCCCTAATCCAATCTCACCCATGTTAAATGAGTACTTATACTCCAGAGCCTTTGTTCAGAGTTTGACAAAGGACGTTGCTGTGCCCCAACAACAAAGACATGGCAGCCTTGGCTCTAACCCACCATGGCTGGACACACTGTGTAAACACCCTTGTGCTGGCTGGGCACAAGCTGTGGAAGCAGGGGAGGTCCTAGGGGCAGCCAGCAGCACAGGTCCTTGACTTGGGTAATCATTTTTCTTAAGTCATGGCTGTGTTGAAAACTATCTAAAAAACCCACAAAAGAGGGACTGTAACACAGTTCCCCTGCCCACTTCCAGACAGGTCCCCAAAGCACTGATTTCTAGTTAGGTCACCTGCTGCTGGCTCTCCCTCTAGGACTCTTGCTAACCTCCTTATACCAGTTTGGCTTCTCCTGTCCAGCAGTGATAGTACTCTCCAGATGGGTTCACGTCTCCTCAGCCTGAAGAGGACATTTAATCCAGATTTGTTAGGCCTGTTAGACTACTGGCCAAAATGATATGATATGCTCCTTGGGTTAAACATCCCCACTGACACATTAGGCTCAGCAGATCTGTCCCCTCTCGGGAGCTGGACAAAGCATACGGACTCCTTCATCAAAATGCAATATCATGCTGCAGCTTCAGTGGGAGCCAAGCCTCCCCACTGCCATGACTGGCACCCATTTTTGTCTATGTACATCCAGGCACATCCATTTGCAGCAAATACTTGTGGGCTAGATCCCCAGGTCCATAACTACTGGGCTTTTCTAGCCCAAAGTCTCCCAACCTTTACCTAATTCCCTAGGGTCCAATACTATTCTTATTAAATAGTTTTATTTTATTATAATTTAGCAGGAAAAATGTTAAATGTCTCTCAATAGATTTTTCCATACATATACACAAGTCTGTCAAGTCTTGGTTTAAAAATGATCAGTGCAAACAGCTACATATTCCAATCCGCAATGGCCTGGAGAAGTGGTGATATTTGCAGAGCTGTATTTTCCTTGGCTGGCTCTTGGGCATTTTGTTCACTTTGGCTAACTGCCCAACAAAGCTCCTGACAAGGAAAAGCATGGCAAGGCAAGGACACCTGTAGCAGAGCAGACAACACAGAACAGATTTGTAGCTCAGATACTAATGAGCTGAGTGGACTTTTCAAACCCAAGTAGCTTCAAAAGAACTAAAAACCTGATGGCAGTCAGATGTTCAGTTCTAAAGCTTCAGCCAGACAGCAAAAAACCACTGCATTGATATCTGGAATCCTGGACTGTTAATTTTTCTCATTACTCTGAGGGACTTTGCTTTGAACCAGATGAAACACTGAGACACGTGAATGGAGCAAACCTGTCTTAATCCTCAGGCCAAAGTACCAGAGATGTTCTATTCCATGAAGTTCAGTCAGACTGCTTGTGAGTAGCAAAGTAACAGCAGTAGCAAAATACAGGTTGTAAACACTGAAGTAGTTGCAGGTTTCACTATTAAAAATTGCTAGTTTTATGCACCCCTGTCCTTGGTTGTAGCCACCAGACACACCACAGTCTGAATAAAACAAACGATCACATCTAGGGTTGGTCTCTCAAGACAATCACAATCCTATTGCTCCACAAGCTTGGCTGAACTCAACATATGCAGCAGCTTAAGACAATTTCTACCTGTGTAAGTGCCAAATATATCTGCAAAAGAGCTGTTTAGTGGGTATTTCAACCTTATAGGAATAGACTTTTCTTTCCTAATTAACCTTAACTGTAAGAAACAATTTAACCTTCATCCAAGGAGAGGCAATTGGCCCTCCAGATTTGGACACATCCTCTTTCTGAAGGTCACTGCACTCAGACTGGCTCCCAGGAACGTCATGATGAGTTCGCATCAGCAACCACATGTCCCATTACCAGCGTATTCTTCACATGGGGGTCAGTATTCCCACAGCCTGCCAGCTGGGTCTTCTGTTCACAACCACTTCTAAGCTAAAAATCACCAACTTGGACCAAACTCAAGTTACAACTATGTAAGCCTTCAGTCGAGTTAAGACTTTCAGGATCCCATACAAACCACATTCATTTTAACGAGCTAACGAACTCCCTGTGGGCAAGAAAGTGGTTATTTTCCCGAGATTCCATCTAGAATGAGCTCTCTGGCCTGGCTGTTAAGAGAATATTTCTCAGCTTTTTTACTGCAGTGCAAAGTAATGGTCCTAGAAACATGCTTCTTTTCTACAGGTGGTGTACACATTCATACTCTTCTAATCCAGTTTCATCCTCTGATGAATTATGCAACAAATACAAACACAAACTACAAAAAATAATTTAATTTATTTTAATACACTTCATTTAATTGGTGTGAAAAAAATTCTGTCCCTGTGATCACAACAGTTAAACATATAAATGGAGTTCATGCAATGGCTTTGTTCAAAGCATTCTTTTCTTCTAGCCAGCTTTAAAAGGGAACTAAAGGGAATGGTCCAAACAAAGGATCTTTTGCAGGAAAACCAGAAGCAAGTCTTTTGCCCACTTATGTTCATTTAAAACTCCTTTTGCAATAAGGAAGTTTTCTTGCATGAATGTTTGCTATAGGATCCAAGCTAAATTCCAAGCTGGATCATTTCTCTCTGCCAGCTTTTGGCAGCATAATTTTGATAAATACTCAAGAGGCAGAACAATCCTTGTGAATAGTTTGCAAAGCTACTTTGGAGACATTTAGAAAAACATACACAAGTAAATATTTAAGTCAGGGTTATTCAGTCTATTGCAGGCAGCCACGTTAATGAAAATGCATGTTTGATATTAATTGCAAATATTGGTCTTTAGCCAGGCCTGAAATTTTTAAGTGGAAGAATTAGCATGAGCTGTGTAATTATGCTCAGCCCACCCTTACTTTTTCCCATCGCTTCTTCTAAAATCTCATTATTGGCTCTTATGTGAAGAGGGAGCACTCGAAACAGCTGCTGTCCCTTGCCTGCCAAGCTATCAATGCACTGCAGGAGACGAGTTCTGGCTGCTCCACCACCAGTTACCTTGCCTGAAAATGACAGTGAAGTAACCAAGGCTGCCTAAGCACCTAGCACACACATGATTCCCACTGCAGACAGGAAGTCTCCTGGCTTTTGTCCTTCTAATTTAGGTAGTGGAAGGAAGAAAAGAGCAGCATCAGAATAAACTGGTACCTGCAGCAGAAACTACTTTGATAGCAGACCACATGCAGCTGGTAAATCACCTGAACAGATTTGACCCCAGGGACAGCAGGACAAGACCTGGGAAATACCAGAACAGCTCACCCTTTTCCCTCCACTGTGCAGGACCACCAAGGACAGGGGAAAAGGGAATGCAAAAAGCTCACCAACACATTATGTTCTGCCATGCTAGATTGAGAGTTGCTTTCAGGCTCCTCTTAACTTACACCAGCTGGCAACACCACCTAAAGCATCTTAAAGCAAGTGAGAAATGTTCAAAATCCAAACACCCCTGTGGCATCACCCCTTTGCTTTTCACACAGCAGCACTGCAGGAAGCAAGGTGGGAAACATGGGGGTGCTTTATGAATGTCTACCCAGAAACGCTCCTTCAAGACGCTCCAGGAATTTCCATTCACTGCTACAGCAACACTATTTGTGTTTACTGGAAAGTAATGGGAGACGACTGGAACAGTCCAGACCTAATTTGCAGCAGTTTAGAACATCCCTGGGGCACTCCTGTTAGTAACAGTACTTTTTAAATTTGGGAAAAGTATGGTCTCAATATCGAAATTTTTCCTGATTTGTGTCCAGGATAAGAGATCACACTGAGCATTTCTCAAACTTCTGGAAAGGTCACCCTCCCTGAGGGATCTTTATTTGAATACAGAAAATGAAAATAAATCTTTATTTTTTCCCTTTATTCTCTCCACAAAAGCATTATACCACCCAGAGAACAGGTAACTATTTTTAATTGCTGGTACCAACTCAGCTCTTCCAGGACAAGGGAGTGAAAATCCCCTTGGTGTAATTAGCAGCTCACTTCTGGCCTGAAGAAAATTAACTACTGTCAACAATTAAAACTGTCTGCTGGCTATGGTGAGCACTCACAACTACCCCTAATCCTTCCTGACCCAGTTTGAAAACTGCTGTCCCAGTTCACTGTCACACATTAGCCCACTGTCACTATGAAGCCCTAGGCAAAGAAAAAAAGGCTCCAGGAGCTTTTTGAGAAGAAAACAAAAATAAAACAACCCAAACACCTCTATTTAGGAAGTTTCCCTTCTGTTCTAACATCTTTGTATGGATTCTGGTGATTGCCCCCTTTCTAAAAGAATGAAAATACCACGTGGGCTGTGCTGAGAGGCAGCCAAGTGGAACAGAAGGACTAGTGTTGAACCCAGTAAGGAAGAGGGAGGAATTAGAAAAGATCGACAACCTAAAGCTATTCAACAGCAGTACAGCGACTGCTTAAGCTGGGGTAAGTTTTAGAGGCCTAGAAACTAAATGCTCTCTCTGGGGGCAGTATGTACCTCAGCTGGACTCTTCTGGCCTCAAACATCAACTGGTGATGAGAGAAGTGAGGGGCTACCAGTTACTCACAGCTAGAAGAAGATTTGGCCAGGACTGTTGCCAACACAGTCTTGGCAGCAGTAGTCTTGTGTACTTCGAATTCTTCAGGTTTTCCAAATAGATGTATTGCTTTTGCTTTTCCTCTCCCCTACAAGAAGTTCTGTTTGTTTAAATCCATTGTTTAACACTGTGCTCACAAGTGGAGAAGCATTGCTCATTCTTGAGCATTCAAAGAGTGTAATTGAATTTCCCAGGCTTCTGAGAGAGGGTCAAGCCAGTTTTGTGTAACAATTTTAGCAAGAACCCAATTAAGTTAAAGCAAGCTCTTTTGTTGCCAATCTGTGCCTTGGAGAAGGGTTACAATTAAACAACAAAACATAGCGTGAAACTAAGAACAGCAACAGATTTGATTTACTTGAGCATGCTCAAAATACATTACCACAATATCATAAAAACAAGCTTTAACACTGAGAATTTACCCAAGCAAGACAAACATTACTCCAGGGCAACATGATTTTGTGTGGCTTTTTTAGCTCTTTCTAAAAACAAAGGAAAATAGAATTCCTTCAGTATTATCAGGTTTTTAGACTCCTAGTGTCCACTGTGTCTTACCTTCTTTAGAAACAAAGGCAACATTTATTAAACAGCTATTAAAAACACACACTGTAGCCTCTGTAAAGGAAAAGCACTCAGGGACGACAAACACAAACAAGGAGAGTAGCTAGAAAAACTATTGGCATTAACTTCAGACAGACACATACATTTATAAACATTTAAGGTTTGCCAACCTGAAACTGAGCTATAGATCATCATATACCTTCTTCAAATCCACCGTTGGCATTTTCTGGTGGATAATGGAGTGTACAGCACAAGTGCTTGTGCAATTGTTTCCCTTTTCCTTCATTTACCTATCGTCCTCCTCTCCTCTGCAACATTAACAAACCTGGCAGCATTCACCAGTAAAATACTGCAAACAGAAAAACAGTATAGTTTTTCAGGTCACGTTAAATTTTTTCCCCTCTCTCCTCCATCATTTCCTGATTTCTCTTCCCCATGCTCTACCTCACTTTTCCATTTTCCTTGCCTGTTTTCTTTTCTTGGCCACCTTTTTCTTCCTTTCTTTTCTTAAATTATGTCTGTGTTTTTTAAAGCAGGATTTCTTTCAGCTTTATGCTTTCCTATTATCTTTCACCCACAAATCTGGGTTGGGCTTTGGTTTGGTTTTGGGTTTTTCTTTATTTTTAAGTTATCTTATTTACCGATTTTTTTTCCCCCCTCCCCTCTTTAAGTTACCCAACTCTGTGTTTGTTTACTTGCTCCGGTTATTTTTCTTCAAAGCCTGGTGATCCTGTGTACACAATCCTACTCAGATAAACAATCCTCCCAGCAAATCTACTCATGAATTTCAAGACCTAGGACTTTTAAACAGATACTGAGCTACAAGTGAGACCAGGATAGACACTAGAAGCCAAGAGGGTATCAGTGTTTTAGGGAAACAGGATTTGTCTTAAGACCACAGAGCACTATTATCTTGTTACTACATGAATGTTTAAGCTTAACATTTACAACCTGTCTCAGAAGACCTGCTTTATGAATGAAAAGACAACTGAGACCCACAGGAGGTAGGATATGGATACCACTCCCACCCCTTCAAACAGCTCTTGAAGAAGACTCTGTTCTTACCTCTAGGCAAATTACTGATCCTTGATGCTCTTTGAACACTTTCAACTGCTCACCAGTGACAATATTCCAAGTTCGAATGGTATAATCCGTGCTGCCAGAAAACAGCTCCCTGTTTGGTGCGTCAAGTATAAGGCATAAGACAGCCCCAGTGTGTCCCAGCAGAGTCTGGTAACAGCGCCCGCTGGACACCCACCAGACCTTAACAGTGCAGTCTGTGCTACCTGTCACCAGGAGGTCTCTGCTTACTTTCTCCTCCTCCTCCTCTTCTTCCTCCTCTTCTTCAAGAACATCCCTGGAGGAATAATGAGCTAGAGTCAGGACACAGTTCCGATGGCCCCGGAATTCCTGAATTTGTTTCTCTTTGTCCACACTCCAACAGCGGGCCGTCCTGTCATAGGAACCACTAAAGAGATAGTCTTTGGCAACCAGGATCCTAGGGGGGGAAAAAAAAATTAAAAAAATAAAAGAAGTTTGCATGTATGAACATATAATTCTTTTTACATGACCATTTTTTGTCACAATTTCAGTGCCAAGCATCCTGAAGTTATAAACAGTAGCGTGAACACAACATATATAATCCAAATTCAGTGTCACTGTTTCATACACATAATTTATGAACTTTTTTGTTGTAGGAAACTGTAGAAAAGTAGAAACTTCCCTGGTTTTGCTTTTAAAATTAAGACCCCTTATTCTGGTACACTGATGCAGACATCTTTACACTATAGCACTGTAGCTTTGGGCATTTGTGCTCTTCCAAAATCTTTTCCGGCAGGACTATTATGTACTTTTTATAAGTTACATATACTGGATAAGAGTTTGTTGTGTTGGGTTTTTTTTGTTTGGTTGAGTTTTTTTAAATTCATTCTTGATAATTATTTATTAGTATTTCTTTACAAATCATTATTTATAAACTGGCCTATGAAAATACCTTGGAATTAAAATAAAAACAAAACAAAACATTGGAGGAACCTGAACTGTAACTGACAGTGTGCAAAGAAAATCACCTTTCCATCATCAAACAGAGAAAGTGCAAGAAAAAAAAAATACACACACAATTTCACTTAGCCCAAGATCTCAAAAAAGGTAGAGCAAGAGCACTCCACTTGTTACATAACTGAAGAGCAAATCAGATCACAGCTCAAGGATTCAACTTACTGAGCCTCCAAAATAATGAGTTGTAGCTGCACGAACATGCAACAGAAAAATCTCTACAGTTCATATTCCCAAACCACAGATAGTGAACATCACAACCTGTCATCTTTGTCAGCTGAGTTTGGCCCTCTGAAACCTTTCAAACTGACAACAAAGTCATATGAATAGGGAACACATTTCCCATTTGCTGATTCAAGCAAAAAATCAGGCCAGTGCCAAAATACAGAGCCAGCCTTCCTAACTATTTACAGAATCCAGCTACACATCATATGTGTTTTGAGTTTAGTAAGGAACAAAAAACCCCATCTACCCACCAAAAAAGAAATGTAGAAAACCAGAAAAATACAACCAATCTCTGACTGCTCTATTTGCCATTAATTAAACCCAGTCCAACTATTAAGAGGCACTTCAAATTGACTTGCTAATCAATCACACACAATCAGTTTAATATTAAACTTCACTTGCACAAACAGGAATAGTAATTCCAGAAAAAGCCCTGACATTATCCCTCTTACTGACACACAAAGGCTTGACATGATGTTTTTAAATCTATTTATCAGAAGCATCTGTTATCAATTGAGTAATTTCTTCTGGAATTTCATTCCTAGCCCTAGATTCAATTCCCCTGCTGTGTGCCTTTCATTTCTCTCCTATCTGCTGTCTATGGATGTGTCAGCACTGTTGCTAGGAAAACTAATCATTACAGCACAGAACACATGTAGCATGAACTCAAAGGTTTACACAACCCATTTTATTAGTGTAGTAATGGAGAATTGCAGTGAAATGACAATATACGTTATAACAGATTATAGGAACACAAGGGAAGAACTCCACAGAACCAACCTGTTAACAATTGATGTGTGTCCTCGGTAAATGGCCAGGCACTGACCTGTCATCACATCCCACTTTCGAATGGTATGATCTGCACTACATGTGAAGGCAGCTTCATTTTCTAAGTGGCAAAAGGTGATATAACTTTCATGTCCTAGGAATAATACAAGAAATAAATCCAATCATGGTGCGTGCAAGCAGGACAAACTAGTCGAGCTCTTCACCTTAACTAAGAAAAGTACAACAAACAGACCGAAACTCCTGTTTTAAATGCACCACCATGTTCTTCACATTTAAGGATTTGTATAAAAACCATATTTAACTAACAGCAGAAAACTCTGCTTCACTGAGGTAAGGATTAAGTGAAAGAGTAAAACAGTACAGTTCCACCAATCAGGTAGACAGAACTGTATTATAAAACCATAATGATGCTTTTGCTTCCTTTTCCTGAAGTCAGGGATAAAGAGGCTGCATTTTGATCCAGCCCATTGATTGTCAGGACACAAACAGCCCTAAAATAAAGCATGAAATCATGAAAAAAGGAAGACATGAGACTTACCAGCAAGTTTAGTTTCACTGTCCAAGCAGAATGAAACACAAACAAACAACCAAAAAAATGTATCTGGTAAAGTCAACGAATACTTTTCCCATCATGCCTAATAATAACATGAATAAACCCCACGATTTTCAAAATATCAGTATACCTTTAAGGCAATGACATAAAAAGAAAGAAAAAGAGCACAATTATTTATTCAGCAGTCAGAGTACATTGGGATTCTACAGTTACAATAAAAATAGACACAAATGCTACCTTAAAAACTTCAGGCTGAAAACCAGAGTAATGCTAGCAAAGAGAAATCAATATTACAACGTTAAGCTTTTGTTGTTGCTTGGCAAGATGTGTAATTTTGCTACTGCATCATTAAATGCACAGCATTTAAAAATCACCTTAGGCTTCAAGTCCCAGATTTGTCCAAGATCTCCTGTGTGAAACTGCTGTTACCTATTTAATCACTGGGATAGTATTATCTTGCACTCTTCTGTTTTAGTTACTTAGACTGTAAGCTTTCAAGATCAGAACTGTTTCCTCTTAGTAACTATCACGAGAGAGACCCAGACTTTGGCTGAAGCTGGTGGGCCCTACTGTGATTTAAATAATACTATACTTTCAGGAGAAAAGAAAAAATATAAGGACAAATGTGACTAAAGGGACACAGATGGTCAGAAAAAGATATTAGAAAACCAGAATCATGTTGTAAAATAAAGACATGGTAAAAAAACTGAGGGAAAGCCGAATGCCCAGTAAAACACTTCGTTTCACTGACTGCAAGAAAGCTGATTTTACTACAACTCCTGTAGTTCAAAAGCAAACCAGAATCTACATTACAAACATTCATTTTGTTTCCCTTTAAACAAATTCACCACATGACACAAATTAAAAAAGATCACCAGGGCTTTAGGCAACCCTATGCCCATCCTCACAATTTTGTGAAAACTTTTTGCAAAGCAGCTTAAGTGAGACAGGTTTCAATCACCAGGATTTTTTCTGCCATCATCATATAATCTTGCTCTGAGAAGATCAAAAAAGTATCTTGGTTACTGAACCAAAGCCTGACAATCAGATTTTAAGCATCAGTAATACTCAGCCACACAAAGGCTGCCAAAATCCTCTGTGGCAGACAAGGTCTGGTGCTGGTCTGATCTAAAGCAGCCACTACAGAAGTCTGCTGGTTATGCTGTGGTGGAAGCTCGAAACTGTGTTATAGACACAGGTTTATCAGTAATTATAGCTTGTACAATACACATTTACACAACACCTCTGCGTGTGCATAACTATAAAACACATACAATTATCTGATTCAACTGACAGTTCACAAAACCATCTAGCCAACCTTCTTTAGAGTTTACACACCAAACAGTACATAGGCCACATTCTGAATGTTATCCAATATATTTCTATTTCCAGTTAAAATTTAATTAGTGGTTTAAAGGGATTTCTAAGCCTAAAGCAAACGCAGTGAGTTTTTCAGGAGCCAGAACCATGGCAGGATGTGGAGAAAAAAAGACAATACTGCATAGTTAAAAACAAGCAAGAAAGTAAACAAACAACAACAACAAAATCACAGCAATGTCATTTCTTCTTTGGCAGAAAAAAAGGATTAGAAATTCAAAATTTAAGAGAATTTTTGTGTGTTAAGAGAAAACAACATGCGTGAGTGAGAGTACAAACATCGTTAATTCACATCTGAGTCCTGCACAACTTCGTTCTACAAAGATTTTCTTTTTAAATGAGATGCTAGTCTAAGGATAAGAAGTTGTTCAAGATACAAAAGCAATTTAAAATTAAAAAAAAAAAAAAAAAAGAAAAAAACAACAAACCAAACAACAGCAATTAACATTTCTGTGTGTCAAATATGGGGGGAAAAAGTAGCCTATTTAGTAAAGTTTATTCTAGACTTCTGGGTCTAAAATGTCTAAATAAAGATTGTCTGGAAAATGACATGATTAAAAGGAAAAGAAAATACAGAAGAAAGGGAGAGAGACAATAACAAGAAAACAGTATTTCATCAGGGTATAAACCAGAGGGCTTCCAGAAGAGACATTAAGTTGAAAAACTGCTATGTTCCCCACCCTCAGACAAAAGGATCTATGCACTCAGTAGCACTGGTAACCTGTTTGGGTTGAAACAGCTTCTGCTTTACATTACTGTAACAAATACTCAAAAAACCCACAAAACAAAACAAGCATGATTTTGGCTGCCAGGCAGGCTGCAGGGACTGAAAGAGACCAGAACATGCTGTGTGGCCTGTGCCACGCTTTAGACTCAAAAGCTAGGTGAACAGAAGCTACTGTACCTTGGAAGTGGCCATGGCACTGGCTGTCGGCAGTGCTCCAGAGCCGCGCAGTGCCATCCTCACTACCCGTGAGCAGGCGCTGCCCGTCCGGGCTCAGGCTCAGCCAGTTGATGCCTCCTTGGTGATCTGTGCAGACCTTCACGGCTGACCCACTGTTCCCCATCCTGGTGGTCCCAGCAAAGACAGAGGCTGTGGGTCAGATCATAGGCACTGGGCAAGCCCCAGCCCATGCTCTGGGCCTCCAGCTGTCTCCCACCGACCAACTTCAGCCATTACATCAACTCCGAAAACTCAGCAGGGTAGTCCAGAGTCCTGTACAGAGACACAAAGGAGGAAGAGGAGGGCACGTTAAATCGTTTCATCTCCCCCGTGGATGCATCACTTTCTCAGTCAGGGTGTGCTGAAGCCATTGGGCGCCTCTTTCTCCGCAAGAACCGGAGCCCTACCGTGGAAGACGGCCCTCCAACCACGGCCTTACTGGTGCGCCTTCCCCATGGGCACTGGGGTACGTCCGGCCCCCAAGGAGAGGATC